ACGGTTTCTATGTCCTGCTTGATGTTTTCCTTTGCCATGTCCTTAGCTTGCTGGACTTTCTTCTCTATGTCTCGGAATGATGTTCCTCCATGAACCTGGAAGTCACAGTATGTAGAACTCGTTAATAGTTCATTAACTGTTAGTTCATTGAGGATCGTCTAATTGATTGGTTGATTGAAGTGTAAATCCAGTTAAACCTTTCGATGTATATTTAATTATTCAGTTCACAAACACTACTTAAACTACGAAAAGCTTTAGTAATTAGATAGTACAAAATTGTACTGAATTCTGCGGATTCCTCTGTTTTCTATTGTGTAATCTACACTATACTCCGCTATTTAGCTCTATTTGATTAGTCATCAAACATTACAATGTCTTTTATAGTACCGTGTTCTTGGCAATTACAGTTTCATTAAGGTCAATTAAAAGCCTTAAATACCTTAACGAGAAGCATGTTCTTAGGGCCATCATACCCGCGTTGCAAACCGCACAAGTAACGTATTAGTTGAGTCTTCCCGCAGCCGGTCTCTCCCATTATCACCACAGGGATCCCACATCTGCATGATAAAACAACGAAAACATTCGTCAAAACAGCCTTATGACATCAAATTAAAAAAATTCTATTCCAGGASTTTCATGTGGGCATACCAACCTAAAGCGCATGTGAATGGCAAGCATTTTCTTGGCATTGTCTTCTGTTAACTCGTAGCTTTCATCTGGATCTGAAGGCCACTCAACACCCAAAACTCGACATATCTTTGCAATYTTTTCAGCCCTGATCAATAATTAGAGATAGTTAGTGCTAGYTTAAAGCAATTATGGATGAGAAACGACGGATGCATCTTACTTTTCTAAGTCTTCAAAGTTTTCTTCAAAATTAACTCGTTGTACAAAGAGCCCTGTTCTTAAACGTTTTTGCATCAGACCGGGTACTATGACTTCGCTGCTAGCAGGATCGATAAGATTACCATCGGTGTCAATACGGAAACCCAGAAACGTGAAAGTCGAGTGATCAGGATTGAAAAACAAGTACGGGTGAGGACTGCAAATAGAAACATTAAAGTATGTCATAGGTGACGTCATATTATATCCATGATGTCATCAGACGTCATAGGTGATGTCATATTTACAAACCTGCTTTCCCATTTTCTACGAAGTTGAAAGTGACCAATGTCTTCGTCTTCTGTTTCGTCTGSGTCAACAGTGGCTACTTCTTCGCCCAATGATCGTGTAGAAAAATCCTGTAAAATTTTAAAAGCTGTAAGAGCCAGGATATTGGAATAGAAAGCATTAAAGTTGCAAGAGCACTATATCACAGATTGGCCTATTTTAATAGCTGTTACAATCTTGGAGATGTCGAAGCTGCATAACCATTCTGTGATGCGCAGATTTATCACACGAGAAAAAAACGGAAAGTGCGCCCAATATAGTAAAAACTCCATACCTGTGACATAACAGTCATGAATATTACGACAAATAATCGAAACCCTTCCAAAGTATCGCCGATATTATCCATTTGACAGAAAACGCTGTGCTCTAGRTCTGACAGCTGGTAGTTGAGAAAATCAACAAAATACTGCAGCTCAGACCATGATGGGTCGCGAATTCCGCAATGCCTGGAAAATGAAAACATTCAATTGTTAGCAAAATTCGATTATGAAAGAGAACATGTGTTGTCATTGAGRTGATTCGTGCCGTTGCATAATCATAAGAAATCTGCTTTTAGCCTTTTACATACTGAGTCAACAAACGAAGACATTCCTCGACGTCATCATCGATTAGATTCTCTGGGTCGAATTGAAAGTGGTGAAGAAGTTCGGGCTCAAT